ACAACAACAACATCAACAACATCAACAACAACATCATCGACAACAACAACATCAACAACATCAACAACAACATCATCGGCAACAACAACAACAACATCAACAACAACAACATCAACAACAACATCATCGACAACAACAACATCAACAACAACAACATCAACAACAACATCATCGACAACAACAACATCAACAACATCAACATCAACAACATCAACAACATCAACAACATCAACAACAACATCATCGACAACAACAACAACATCAACAACAACATCATCGACAACAACATCAACAACAACATCAACATCAACCACATCGACAACAACAACATCAACATCAACAACAACATCAACAAACATCATCAACAAATATCAACAACAGGCAGATGGTGGTGGGAGTCGCTCTCACGAATTGGCGGCAAAATTTTAAGCGATCCGTGCGCCGCGCGGCGATTTGCCTGGCTGCGTCGGGTGGCGGAGGGCTCTCACAACGAAACAAACGTGTCCAGAATCGCCCAGTCCGAGGGGGAGACCACGCAAACCCCAAATACTCAGCAGGCGTCGCCAGGACCCGGCATCGAACTCGGTGCCTCCATGCGCCACCGCAGCGCCGCAGCGGGAATACTCACTGGACGACGACGGCGGAGATGACGAAGATGACGACGAAGACGACGAAGACGACGAGGAGGAGGAAGAGGCCGCGGCGGGCGGTCCGGCGCCGGTCGCCACGGCCGCAGCGCCGGCGCCAGACTCGGCGCCGCAGTCGCACGGCGAGACGCCTCCCGCGACGGTGACGGCGCCGCCCTCGGGCGCCACGCGCCGCACGCGGTGCAGCCGGCGCCCGTCCGTCTCGGCCACGTGCAGCGCTCCGTCCGGCGACACGGCCAGCGCCACCGGCGACTGCAGCGGCGAGCGCGGTGCCGGCGGCGGCGCAAGCGGCGGAGCCGGCGCCTCGACGCCGCCGGGCGCCGTGCAGTGCAGCGGGCGCCCGGCCACGACGCGGGCGCGGCGCCCGTCCCACACCTGCAGCACGACGCCGTTGTCCAGCACCAGCAGCGAGTTGTCCAGCGGGCTCACGGCCAGGTCCGTGGGCCACTCCAGACGCACCTGGGAGGGGGAGGAGGTGGAGGGGTCACGGAGAGGAGGCGGCGGGGGCCGGTGGCGCGGAGACTCGACGCGCGGGCGCTCGGTGGGCCCGGTGACCCAGTGATCCAGCAACCCAGTGCCTCTATGACCCAGTGACCTTGAAACCCAGCGCCCTGGTGACCTGATGATTGGGTGACCCGATGACCCATTGCATCCGTTGACCTGACAACTGGGCGACCTGGTGACCCGTCACCCCGGTAACCCGTCACCCCGGTGACCCATGGCCCTGTTAACCTGATAACCATGCGACCCGGCGACCCGTTTCCCCGGCGACCCCGTCGCTCCCCATCGCCGCCGGCGACCCGTTTCTCCGGTGACTCGTTTTCCCGGCGACCCCGTCGCCCCCGGCGACCCCGTCGCCCCCGGCGACCCCGTCGCCCCCGGCGCCCCCGGCGACCCGTTACCCCGTCGCCCCTGGCGACCCGAGGAGCGCGCGACCCCCGGGGCTCCGACCTGCGCGGCGTCCATGGAGTCCCCGCAGCTGAGCGGGCGAGCGGAGGCGGCGGCGAGTCCCGTGGAGCCGAGCACGGTGGAGATGGCGCCGTTCTGGTCCACGCGGCGCACCGAGCTGCCGTCCACAAAGTAGACGAGGCCCCGCTCGTCCACCGCCACGCCTGGGGGGGGGGGGCGCACGGGGGGGGGCACGGGGGGGGCACGGGGGGGGGCACGGGGGGGGAATGGGAGGGGGGGGGGGGAATGAAGGGAGGGGCATGGTAGGGGACATGTGAGTTCAGGGGGGGGGCACGGGGGGGCATGGGAGGGCGTGGGGGGAATGAAGGGAGGGGCATGGTAGGGGACAGGGGCCATGGTTGAAGTGGAGGGTGGGCACGGGAGGGGGACCTGAGTATACAGGGACATGTGGACCCACGTGATGCAACGAGCTGAGCTTCCAGGCTTTCCCATGCAGTCCCCTCGCCGCTCGCCGCTCGCCGCTCGTCGCTCACCACGCGTGCGTGCGTCTGACCGCTCACCACGCGCGTGCGTGCGGCTCACCGCTCACCACGCGCGTGTGTGCGGCTCACCGCTCACCACGCGTGTGCGTGCGTCTCACCGCTCACCGCTCACCGCTCGCCGCTCGCCGCTCGCCGCTCACCACGCGTGCGTGCGTCTCACCGCTCACCACGCGTGTGCGTGCGTCTCACCGCTCATCGCGCGTGCGTGCGTCTCACTGCTCACCGCTCACCGCTCACCACTCGCCGCTCGCCGCTCACCACTCACCGCTCACCACACGCGTGCGTGCGTCTCACCGCTCACCGCTCACCACGCGTGCGTGCGTCTCACCGCTCACCGCTCGCCGCTCACCACTCACCGCTCACCACGCGTGCATGCATCTCACCGCTCACCGCGTGTGTGCGGCTCACCGCTCACCGCACGTGCGTCTCACCGCTCACCACACACGTGCGTGCGTCTCACCGCGGGGCTGGTTGAGGCTGGCGGCCGTGGCGCGGCCTCCGTCGCCGCACTTGGCGCCGTCCATGGGCAGGCACTGCTCGCCGGTGCCCGCCAGCACCTCGGCCGGCGCCACCGGCGGGGGCGGCCCTCCGTCGTCGCCGCCCGCCGGCATCGGGCGCACGCGGTAGAGGCGGCGCGTGGCGCCGTCCGACACGATGACGGCGCCCGTCACGGGGCACACGGCCACGTAGTACTTGTGAGCCGGCGTCGCGCTGCGGGGGGCACAGAGGCAAAGGGGGTCCCCACCCGCCCAGGTAGCCTTTCACTAGGCCGTAGGGGCAAGTGCTGCTGCTGCTGCTGCTGGCGGAGCAGCGCCTACGAAGGCCGGAACACACAGGAGCACGAAGACCCCCGTCCTTCCCCCTGTAGCCTGAACAGACTATTGGGGCAAGTGCTGTCAGCGGGCTTCTACGAAGGCCGGCACGGTGGCACACGCGAGGGGGTCGTGGGTTGCCAGCACCACGACCGGCCGCCTTTGTCTTCCGTAGTGGCGACGTCTACGACACATCCGCACCGGGTACTCATTCGAGGCTGAGTCGACCTAGGGGAGGCCCAGGACCGGTTCCGACAATCGTCAACGGTATCGGTGGTGGCCGTGAGCGGGAATCGAACTCGGGTCGCCGGGTTCGTAGCGCAGCGCGCCATAACTAAAGGACAAAGATCCTCCGTATGGTAAGGGTCGTGGTAAGGACCATCGTAAGGACCATGGTAAGGGCCATGGTAAGGGTGGTGGTAAGGGCTGTAGTAATGGCCATGGTAAGGGTGGTGGTAAGGGCTGTAGTAATGGCCATGGTAAAGGTCGTGGTAAGGGCTGTAGTAAGGGCCATGGTAAGAACCATGGTAAAGGTCGTGGTAAGGGCTGTAGTAAGGACCATCGTAAGGGCCATGGTAAGGGTCGTGGTAAGGGTCGTGGTAAGGGCTGTAGTAACGGCCATGGTAAAGGTCGTGGTAAGGGCTGCAGTAAGCACCATGGTAAGCCCCATGGTAAGGGCTGCTCCTCGTAGTTTCACGCCATGTGGTGGTTGGGGGGTGGGCGGGGGGCTCCGACCCTGTACCGCGAAACGTACGACGGGCGGCATCTCGGGCTGACGCGCCCCGCCGCGGCATTAACTAGGGCGGCCCGCCGGGGTTGGAACCGAGAGCGACCCACGACGCTCGGAATGCCCCGTCAGCGGGGGTGGGTGGCTCACGCCCAAAGACAAAGATCCCCCGTGTAGCCTGTAACAGACTGTTGGGGCAAGTGCTGTCAGCGAGTAGCAGCACCTGTGAAGTGCATTAACCCCCACAGGGCCACGCTCACCTGTGCTTGAACTCTTTACTCCTGCTGATGGGAGGCACAGGGGCAGAGGGTGGGGGGGGGTCAGGCACACATGGTCACCACGTGCTCCTCCAGTGCGCGTCCCTGAATGTCAGTTTGCCCGTGTGTCACCCCCTCGTGTCTCCCCGTGTGTCTCCCCATGAGTCCCCGTGTCTCCCTGTCTCCCTGTGTCTCCCCTGCACGCCCTGTGTCTCCCCATGTGTCTCCCCGTGTCTCCCATCTCCCCGTGTGTCTCCCCGCGTATCTCACCATGTATCTCCCCATGTCTCCGCATGAGTCCCCGTGTCTCCGCATGAGTCCCCGTGTCTCCCCTTGTGCTTCCCTGTGTCTCCCAGTGTGTCTCCCCATGTGTCTCCCCGTGTCTCCTGTCTCCCCGTGTGCCTCCCCGCGTGTCTCACCATGTATCTCCCCATGAGTCCCCGTGTCTCCCTGTCTCCCCCGCACGCTCTGTGTCTCCTTGCGTTTCCCTGAGTCTGCCCGCATGTCTCCCCGTGTGTCTCCCCGTGTGTCTCCCCGTGTGTCTCCCCATGTGTCTCCCCGTGTCTCCTGTCTCCCCGTGTGTCTCCCCGCGTGTCTCACCGCGTATCTCCCCATGTCTCCGCATGAGTCCCCGTGTCTCCCTGTGTCTCCCGCACACGCCCTGTGTCTCCCCTTGTGCTTCCCTGTGTCTCCCAGTGTGTCTCCCCGCGTCATCCCACGTCTCCCCGTGACTCCCCGTGTACCCGTGCGCCCCCCCCCCCCGCTCACCTGAGCTCCATGACGGTGCTCACGTTCCCGGCGGGCTCCACGCGCCGCACCAGGTTGTAGTCCCCCACGTAGACAGCGCCGTCCGCGCCGCACGCCAGCGCCACCGGCGCCAGCAGCCGCGCCGACTCGGCGGGGCCCCGGCAGCCCCCCGGCGGGGGGCACGAGAGAGGGCGGCGCCGCCCGGAGCCCACGAACGTCGAGATGACCGGCGGCTGGGAGCGCAGCGAAAGCGATGAGCCGTCGCCGCGGTGCAGGATGCCTGATGCGGAGGGGGGCGGGGGGGCGGGGGGGGCGGGGGGGCGGGGGGGGGAGGGGGGGAGGGGTAGACACACGGGCAGGATGCTGTCACCCTCCTGCGATTCGCAGGGTAGTACCGCACGGATCGTGACTGCATGTCCCCCTGTCCCGCTGTTCCAATATCACCGTGTCACCATGTCCCCCGTGTTACCCGTGTCACCGTGACCCCGTCACCCCTTGACCCCGTGTCCCTGTGTCCCCCTGTCCCCATATGCCCTGTCCCTTGTATCTCTGTGTTACCGTGTCCCCGTGTTCCACACAGGGGGACACAAAGGGAGACACAGGGGGACACGGGAGGGGGGGGAGGAACAACACACGGGGGGGGGGGGGGGACACGTGGGGTGTGGGGGGGGTCACGTGGGGTGTGGGAGGGGGGGGGGTCACGTGGGGTGTGGGGGGGGGTCACGTGGGGTGTGGACGCACCGCTGGGCACGTCCAGGGCGTGGTGCGGCTCCAGGCTCCACCCGGCGATCCCGGACGGCTCCAGGGGGAACGCCGGCAGCTCCACCGCACGGCGCTCCCACAGCACCAGTTCGGCACAGCCCGTGTACTCATAGCCCACCCACACTGCGGGGCAGAGACAGCGTCCACTCATAGCCCACCCACTCATAGCCCACCCACTCATAGCCCACCCACACCGCCAGGTAGAGACAGCGACCAATCACAGCCCACCCACACCGCCAGGTAGAGACAGCGTCCAATCACAGCCCACCCACACTGCCAGTCAGAGACAGTGACCAATCACAGCCCACCCACACTGCCAGGTAGAGACAGCGACCAATCACAGCCCACCCACACCACCAGTCAGAGACAGCCTCCACTCACAGCTGACCCCCCACGCTCCCGCGCGCCGTACCGACGGCGTGTGCGGTGCCGTAGACCCGCGAGCCGTAGGCGTCGGTGCGGTCCCAGGCCAGGGTGTGTGCGAGGCGAGGCGCCGGCGGGAAGCGCCGCTCCAGCAGCCGCCCCTCCACCGCCAGGAGGAGCCGCACGGTGGCGAGGCGCGCCGGGGGCGCCGCCGGCGTCAGCAGCAGCCGCAGCAGCGAGCGGCGCGCCGGGGCGCCGTCGCTGCGGTAGGAGAGGCGCAGCGACGAGCCCGGCACCGGCAGCCGCACGCGCAGCGTCTGTGGGGGGCGGGGGGGGCAACCGGGGCGTGAGTGAGTGTGTAAGTGTGAGTGTGTGTAGGTGTGTGTGTGTGTAAGTGTGTGTGAGTGTGTGTAAGTGTGAGTGTGTGTAAGTGTGTGTGAGTGAGTGTGTAAGTGTGTGTGAGTGAGTGTGTAAGTGTGAGTGTGTGTAAGTGTGTGTGAGTGAGTGTGTAAGTGTGAGTGTATGTAATTGTGTGTAAGTGTGAGTGTGTGTAAGTGTGAGTGTGTGTAAGTGTGTGTGAGTGAGTGCACCGGCAGCCGCACGCGCAGCGTCTGTGGGGGGCGGGGGGGGAGGAGACAACGGGGGGCCATCGGACAACAACGAAAATAAAACGTTGGGCGTGGGCCGCTAGAGGGGCCTTACGGAACCGCGGTAAGGTCATGGTAAAGGTCGTGGTAAGGGCAATGGTTAAAGGTGCATGGTAAGGGTCGTGGAAAGGGCTGTAGTAAGCGATTTTTGACGATTTTTGACCCCCCCCCCCACCCTTCGTCACACGGCGTCACAAAAAGTCAGACCCCCCCCCCCTCAAATATGACGTCACAAAGTTCTGCCCCCCCCCCCCGAAAAAAAAAAAAACATGCTTCAAATCGCTTTAAACTATTGTCATTGTAGTGCGTGTTTAATGTGGCGCTGCACTCTGATGTTGTAGGAGAAAACATTCATTAAAAAGTCTATTTAGTTAAGTAGAACGTGTTGTCTATATTTATTTAAAGTTGCGCATTTTGATGTGACGTCACATTTCTCAAACCCACCCCCATCGTCACACATCGTCACAAATGTCTGACCCCCTCCCCCCCCCCAGGTGCGTGACGTCATTTATGGACGGCCCCTAAGGCCCATGGTAAGGGCTGCTCCCCGTCAGCGGGGTGGGTGGCTCACGACCAAACACAAAGATCCCCCGTGTAGCCTTCACAGACTATAGGGGCAAGTGCTGTTAGCGAGCAGCACCTATGAAGGCCGGCACGGCACACGAGGGGGTGGGTGGCCAGCACCACGCCCGGCCGCCTTTGTCTCCCCAGTGACGATGTTTACCACACACCGCATCGGGTACTCATTTGAGGCTGAGTCGACCTAGGGGAGGCCCAGGACCGGTTCAGATAATCGTCACCGGCGTTGACCGTGAGCGGGAATCGAACTCGGGTCACCAGGTTCGTAGCGCTAACCGCTACACTGCAACCATCATCGCCTCCACCACCATCACCTCCGCTGCCACTATTACCCCCACCACCATCACCACCACCATCACCACCACCATCAACCCATCAACCATCGCGACCACCATCACCCCCACCATCATCACCACCCCCATCCACCACCGTGTCCTCACCCCACCCCACCCCACTCAAACCTCACCGCCCTCCTCACCACCCTCCTCACCACCCCCTCACCACCCTCCTCACCACCTCCTCACCACTCTCCTCACCACCTCCTCACCACCCTCCTCACCACCCTCCTCACCACCCTCCTCACCACCCTCACCACCCTCCTCACCACCCTCCTCACCTCCCTCCTCACCACCTCCTCACCTCCTCACCACCTCCTCACCACCCCCGTCACCATCCTCCTCACCACCACCGCTCCTCACCACCCTCCTCACCACCTCCTCACCACCCTCCTCACCACCTCCTCACCACCCTCCTCACCGCCCTCACCACCCCCTCACCACCCTCCTCACCACCTCCTCACCACCCTCCTCACCACCCTCCTCACCACCCTCCTCACCACCCTCCTCACCACCCTCCTCACCACCCCCCCTCCACCCTCCTCACCACCTCCTCACCACCCTCCTCACCACCTACTCACCCCCCTCACCACCCTCCTCACCACCCTCCTCACCACCCTCCTCACCACCCTCCTCACCACCCTCCTCACCACCCCCCTCACCACCCTCCTCACCACCCTCCTCACCACCTCCTCACCACCCCCTCACCACCCCCTCACCACCCTCCTCACCACCTCCTCACCACCTCCTCACCACCTCCTCACCACCCTCCTCACCACCCTCCTCACCACCCTCCTCACCACCCTGCTCACCACCCTCCTCACCTGCGTGAGCGGCAGCACGTCCTCGCCGGCGCCCTCCCCTCCCCCCGCCCCCACGTGGGGCTCGGCATGGACCCCGGCTGGTGGCCAGGCGAGCACCACGGGGTCCGGCTGCTCCAGCCCCGAGCGGTCGCAGCTGGGGATCTCGTTCTGCTCGCGCCGCAGAACCAGCGGCTCGAGCACCAGCAGCCGTCGCCAGGGCAGGCGCACCCAGCGCACGCGCACCACGAACGGGGGCCGCTCCAGACGCAGCGCCACTGACCCGCCGCCCTCGGCCAGAAGGTCGAAGCTGCCGGGGGGGGCGGGGGAGGGAGGGGGGGGGAGCGGGGGGAGGGAGGGGGGAGTTGACGGCGCCGAGAGGGACTTGCTGGGAGGATGGGTTGTGTGTCGCTGTCTACCCGTGTCCCCCTGTTCCCCCTGACCCCATTCCCCCGTGTCTCCGTGACCTCCCCCGCTCCACCCCTCCCCCCCCCGATGTGACCCCGGGTGACCCTCTCCAGTGACCCCTCCCCCCCCCCATGTGACCCCGGGTGACCCTCTCCAGTGACCCCTCCCCCCCCATGTGACCCCGGGTGACCCCGGGTGACCCTCTCCAGTGACCCCTCCCCTTCCCATGTGACCCCGGGTGACCCTCTCCAGTGACCCCTCCCCCCCCATGTGACCCCGGGTGACCCTCTCCAGTGACCCCTCCCCTCCCCATGTGATCCCGGGTGACCCTCTCCAGTGACCCCTCCCCCCCATGTGACCCCGGGTGACCCTCTCCAGTGACCCCGGGTGACCCTCTCCAGTGACCCCTCCCCATGTAACCCCCGGTGACCCTCTCCAGTGACCCCCCCCGCCCCCCCACTCACTATCCGTCGTGCCGAGTGAGCGTGAAGCCCAGGGCGGGCAGCCCCACAAAGCTCACGTTGACCCCGACCAGCGGGGAGCCGTCCGCCGTGGTCACCTGACCCCGGATCACGCACACTCGGCTGGGGGAGGGGGGGGGGTCACGGGTGGTGGGTGGGAGGGAGGCGGGGGGGTGGAGGTTAAGGGTCAGGGGTCAGATCTTCGCCCTCGACTGGCGAAGTCACGGCGCTCGGGATTGGCGTGTCACGTGACGACTGCCTCTCTCTCCCTCACCCCCTCACCTCACCCCCCCACACTCCCCCCACACCCCCCTCACACTCCCCCCCACACCCCCCACACCCCCCCCCTCACACCCCCCCACTCCCCCCACCCCCCCCGCACCCCACCTGCTATCGAAGGGGTTCTCTCCGGGCACCACGTGCACGCTGTCCCTGCCGAGCAGGAAGCCGACGCGCTCCCAGAAGGAGGCCGGGGGCCACCCGCGGCCCCGGCCGGGCCCGGCGCGCGCCGTGGCCGAGCCGGGCCGCGGCCGCCTCAGCAGCGTCGCCGGGTCCGGGGAGCCACGGCAGGTCGGGGCCGCACGGCACGACGGCTGCACGCAGCAGTCGGGGTCCAGGCAGTCGGTGAGGCCGTCTGGTGGCGGCGAGGGGAGGGGGAAGGGGAGGGGAGGGGGCAGGGGAGGGGGAGGGGGCAGGGGAGGGGGCAGGGGAGGGGGCAGGGGAGGGGGCAGGGGAGGGGGAGGGGGCAGGGGAGGGGAGGGGGCAGGGGAGGGGGCAGGGGAGGGGAGGGGGCAGGGGAGGGGAGGGAGGGGATGGGATGAGGGGGGATGGGATGAGATGAGGGGTGGGAGGGATGAGAGGGGAGGGAGCGGGTAGAGACAGAGAGAGCCCAGCCGTGGAAGAGGTCAAGCGTGGAGCTGACCTCTGCGAGCCGAGTAGTGGACACATTGCGTAGCGCGCTGGGAACGGGCAGCGTGCCTCGGCACGAACCGGTATCGCGTCAATGGTTCACAATCGACCACCACCCCAACCACCACCCCCACCACCCCCACCACCTCCAAACCCACCCCCAACTCCACCCCCACCACCTCCAACTCCACCACCCCCACCCCCAACTCCACCCCCACCACCTCCACCACCCCCCCACCTCCAACCCCACCCCCACCCCCCCCACCCCCCCCACCTCCAACCCCACCCCCACCCCCCCACCCCCCCCACCCCATCACCTCCAACCCCACCTCCAACTCCACCCCCACCACCTCCAACTCCACCCCCACCACCTCCAACCCCACCACCACCCCCACTAACCCCACCACCCCCCCCCACCCCCCCCCCCCACCACCCCCCCCCCACCCCCCCCACCACCCCCCCCCCCTACCGGCGTCGTCGTCCCTGCCGTCCCCGCACGCGGTCTCGGCGGCCACGTCGCACGCGCTGCCCCTCCAGCCCGACTCGCAGAGGCAGCGCCACCCGCCGTGGCCCAGCGAGCAGCGGCCGTGCTCCGAGCACAGCGACGGACAGCCCTCTGTGACGACAACAACAACAATGACGACAACAACAGCAGCAGCAACAGCAATGACGACAACAACAACAACAACAGCAGCAATGACAACAACAACAACAACGACGATGATGATGATAACAATCACAACAGTAACACTGATAACAACCACCACAACGATGACAACTACCACCACCACTACAACAACGATGACAACAACCACCACAACAACGATGACAACAACAAACACCACAACAACCACAACCACCACAACAACAACGATGGCAACAACAAACACCACAACAACCACAACCACCACAACAACAACGATGGCAACAACAACAACATGCAGCGCGAGTCGTCGTCCCGTTGCTCTGTGTGCGTCTGACTTCCATTCCCGAACTGGAATATCGACACGGGGGAGATGCGGGGAGAGACACGGGGGGAGACGCGGGGGGAGACACGAGGAGAGACACGGGGGAGACGTGGGGAGAGACGCGGGGGAGACACGTGGGAGAGATGCGTGGGGAGACGCGGGGGGAGACACGGGGGAGACAAATGAGGAGACGCGTGGGGAGACACGGAGGAGACGTGGGGAGAGACGCGGGGGAGACACGTGGGAGAGATGCGTGGGGAGACGCGGGGGGAGACACGGGGGAGACGAATGAGGAGACGCGTGGGGAGACACGGAGGAGACGTGGGGAGAGACGCGGGGAAGACACGTGGGAGAGATGCGTGGGGAGACGCGGGGGGAGACATGGGGGAGACGAATGAGGAGACGCGTGGGGAGACACGGGGAGAGAGACACGGGGGAGACGCGTGGGGAGATGCGTGGGGAGACGAGTGGGAGACGCGTGGGGAGACACGGGGAGAGAGACACGGGGGAGACGCGTGGGGAGATGCGTGGGGAGACGCGTGGGGAGACACGGGGAGAGAGACACGGGGGAGACGCGTGGAGAGATGCGTGGGGAGACGCGTGGGGAGACACGGGGAGAGAGACACGGGGGAGACGCGTGGGGAGATGCGTGGGGAGACGCGTGGGAGACGCGTGGGGAGACACGGGGAGAGAGACACGGGGGAGACGCGTGGGGAGAGACACGGGGGAGACGCGTGGGGAGATGCGTGGGGAGACGCGTGGGGAGACACGGGGAGAGAGACACGGGGGAGATGCGTGGGGAGATGCGTGGGGAGACGAGTGGGAGACGCGTGGGGAGACACGGGGAGAGAGACACGGGGGAGACGCGAGGGGAGGTGCGTGGGGAGACGCGTGGGGAGACACGGGGAGAGAGACACGGGGGAGACGCGTGGGGAGATGCGTGGGGAGACGCGTGGGGAGACACGGGGAGAGAGACACGGGGGAGATGCGTGGGGAGATGCGTGGGGAGACGAGTGGGAGACGCGTGGGGAGACACGGGGAGAGAGACACGGGGGAGACGCGTGGGGAGATGCGTGGGGAGACGCGTGGGGAGACACGGGGAGAGAGACACGGGGGAGACGCGTGGGGAGATGCGTGGGGAGACACGGGGAGAGAGACACGGGGGAGACGCGTGGGGAGATGCGTGGGGAGACGCGTGGGGAGACACGGGGAGAGAGACACGGGGGAGACGCGTGGGGAGATGCGTGGGGAGACGCGTGGGGAGACACGGGGAGAGAGACACGGGGGAGATCCGTGGGGAGACGCGTGGGAGACGCGTGGGGAGACACGGGGAGAGAGACACGGGGGAGACGCGTGGGGAGATGCGTGGGGAGACGCGTGGGGAGACACGGGGAGAGAGACACGGGGGAGACGCGTGGGGAGACGCGGGGGAGACGCGGGGGAAGCGTGGGGAGACACGGGGGAGACACGTGGGGAGAGACACGGGGGGAGATGCGGGGAGAGACACGGGGGGAGACGCGGGGGGAGACACGGGGGAAGACGCGGGGGAGACACGGGGGGCGTGGGGAGACGCGGGGGGAGACACGGGGGGAGACGCGTGGGGAGACACGAGGGAGACGCGGGGGAGATGCGTGGGGAGACACACGGGGGAGACGCGGGGGAGACACGAGGGGAGACACGTGGGGAGACACGTGGGAGACACGCAGGGAGACGCGGGCGACGAGGACGGTGATCTGATGCGCACGCGAAAACGTTACGGGCGCGGGTCTGTCCGCTCGCCGAACGCGAGGTGCCCTTGGCGGGGCCTGAACGTGGAGCAGATTGGCGAGAGAGCGAGACTGTGCCTGGTGCCATCGCGAGAGAGCGAGGCTGTGCCTGGTGCCATCGCGAGAGAGCGAGACTGTGCCTGGTGCCATCGCGAGAGAGCGAGACTGTGCCTGGTGCCATCGCGAGAGAGCGAGACTGTGCCTGGTGCCATCGCGAGAGAGCGAGACTGTGCCTGGTGCCATCGCGAGAGAGCGAGGCTGTGCCTGGTGCCATCGCGAGAGAGCGAGACTGTGCCTGGTGCCATCGCGAGAGAGCGAGGCTGTGCCTGGTGCCATCGCGAGAGAGCGAGACTGTGCCTGGTGCCATCGCGAGAGAGCGAGACTGTGCCTGGTGCCATCGCGAGAGAGCGAGACTGTGCCTGGTGCCATCGCGAGAGAGCGAGGCTGTGCCTGGTGCCATCGCGAGAGAGCGAGACTGTGCCTGGTGCCATCGCGAGAGAGCGAGACTGTGCCTGGTGCCATCGCGAGAGAGCGAGACTGTGCCTGGTGCCATCGCGAGAGAGCGAGACTGTGCCTGGTGCCATCGCGAGAGAGCGAGGCTGTGCCTGGTGCCATCGCGAGAGAGCGAGGCTGTGCCTGGTGCCATCGCGAGAGAGCGAGACTGTGCCTGGTGCCATCGCGAGAGAGCGAGGCTGTGCCTGGTGCCATCGCGAGAGAGCGAGACTGTGCCTGGCGCCATCGCGAGAGAGCGAGACTGTGCCTGGTGCCATCGCGAGAGAGCGAGGCTGTGCCTGGTGCCATCGCGAGAGAGCGAGGCTGTGCCTGGTGCCATCGCGAGAGAGCGAGGCTGTGCCTGGTGCCATCGCGAGAGAGCGAGGCTGTGCCTGGCGCCATCGCGTGCGAATCGGGTCTCACCTTTCACCACGTTGTCCATGTAGTAGGCTGGGGAGACACGCACACACGCACCGGTGCGTACAGGTGAATTGGCGAGCGGTGAATTTGAGCGTAGCCCCCACCCCTCCAAGCTCCAAGCTGCTCTCCCACCTGTGCCCCACCGTCTCACCTATGGTGGCAGGTGTCCCCACCTGTGTCTCACCTATGGTGCAGGTGTGGTGGGTAATTGTTGGGCGTAATACGCCGCCACCACTTTGGTTGAACTGCGACTGCCATACATAATGCACGGGCATAATATGACTAATCCCATATCTGCATTTTCCATGAATATGCTAAATTCATCTGTTGATATGCAAATGTATTTGTCAAGGCGCCCTTCCTCCCCTAACCCAGCTTAAATATACGCTGCCAAGCTTTGTGGTGCTCATTCAGACGCTGTCTTTCCGACAGACCTGTTCTTCACCTGAGGACGGCTGCTTGCGTTGTGGCCGAAACGTCGTGAGAATTGTATTTTATGATGTTTAATATTTTTATTATTTCCCTTCTACGTGACTTTACCGAAAGAACCAAGAAGATGGTACTTCCAGTCAGGGCCCAACAGGGGGCAGTAGCGAGTCCGACCTGTGACGAGCAGGACTCGGAGGTCAGGCATCCCCGGGGGGGGGGGGCGGTTGGGAACCGGAGGGGGGCATCCCAGGCCCCCCGGGTGGGGGCTGGGGGGGGGATTGCGCAACAATCCAGGTCCTTCGAGAAGGCTCCAGATGGTGGGCGTGGCCAGGGGCGGGGTGACCCGGGGTGACCCTGGGAGCCCCATAAAAGGCGGACCCCCCCAGAGTGGCTGAGGCAGTTCGCCTCAAGCCGACGTTCCAGAAGCCGCCTGAAGCCAGTCAGCCTGCCCTAGGCCCCGCTAGCCGGAGGGCTCCAGGAGCAGTTAGGCCCAGTGGCAGAGGTCGCAAACGGGTTTTGATTCCTTACCCGTACCCGTACCCGGCCGCACCAGGGTCGCAAATGGGTACCCGTTCCCTACCCGTACCCGTACCCTACCTGAAATGAGTGACAAACGGTTACTCACCAGTGACTCACGGCCTACCCGTACCCGGCCGCACCAGGGTCGCAAACGGCTACCCATACCTGGCCGGCTACGAGTAGCCGGGTATCGGGTAGGGTACGGGTATCGGGTAGGGTACGGGTATTGGGTAACCGGTTGCGACCTCTGCCCAGTGGCTAGGGTACGTTAGCCCAGAGGCTGTACCTCCTGCCTAGGTTGTGGGTGGAAGGGGCCAATACCCCTTCGTGTTAGGGACCGAGTGTTTGTTGCTGTTACGTTGTATGATAAACGTGTTGCCTGCGACCAATACTCCGTCTCCATACAAACCCACTACACAGGTGTCCCCCTCATGCCTCACCTATGGTGGAGATGTCTCACCTGTGCCTCACCTATGGTGCAGGTATCTCCACCCGTGCCTCACCTATGGTGCAGGTATCTCCACCCGTGCCTCACCTATGGTGCAGGTATCTCCACCCGTGCCTCACCTATGGTGCAGGTATCTCCACCCGTGCCTCACCTATGGTGCAGGTGTCTCCACCCGTGCCTCACCTATGGTGCAGGTATCTCCACTCGTGCCTCACCTATGGTGCAGGTCTCCCCCCCCCCCGTGCCTCACTTATGGTGCAGGTCTCCCCACCCGCGCCTCACCTATGGTGCAGGTATCCCCACCTGTGCCTCACCTATGGTGCAGGTATCCCCACCTGCGCCTCACCTATGGTGCAGGTATCCCCACCCATGCCCCACCTATGGTGCAGGTCTCCCCACCCGTGCCTCACCTATGGTGCAGTTATCCCCACCCGTGCCTCACCTATGGTGCAGGTGTCTCCACCCGTGCCTCACCTATGGTGCAGGTCTCCCCCCCCGTGCCTCACCTATGGTGCAGGTCTCCCCACCCGCACCTCACCTATGGTGCAGGTATCCCCACCTGCGCCTCACCTATGGTGCAGGTCTCCCCACCCGCGCCTCACCTATGGTGCAGTTATCCCCACCCGTGCCTCACCTATGGTGCAGGTGTCTCCACCCGTGCCTCACCTATGGTGCAGGTCTCCCCCCCCGTGCCTCACCTATGGTGCAGGTCTCCCCCCCCGTGCCTCACCTATGGTGCAGGTCTCCCCACCCGTGCCTCACCTATGGTGCAGGTTTCCCCCCCCGTGCCTCACCTATGGTGCAGGTCTCCCCACCCGCGCCTCACCTATGGTGCAGGTATCCCCACCTGCGCCTCACCTATGGTGCAGGTCTCCCCACCCGCGCCTCACCTATGGTGCAGTTATCCCCACCCGTGCCTCACCTATGGTGCAGGTGTCTCCACCCGTGCCTCACCTATGGTGCAGGTCTCCCCCCCCGTGCCTCACCTATGGTGCAGGTCTCCCCCCCCGTGCCTCACCTATGGTGCAGGTCTCCCCACCCGTGCCTCACCTATGGTGCAGGTCTCCCCACCCGTGCCTCACCTATGGTGCAGGTCTCCCCACCCGCACCTCACCTATGGTGCAGGTATCCCCACCTGCGCCTCACCTATGGTGCAGGTCTCCCCACCCGCGCCTCACCTATGGTGCAGTTATCCCCACCCGTGCCTCACCTATGGTGCAGGTGTCTCCACCCGTGCCTCACCTATGGTGCAGGTCTCCCCCCCCGTGCCTCACCTATGGTGCAGGTCTCCCCCCCCGTGCCTCACCTATGGTGCAGGTCTCCCCACCCGTGCCTCACCTATGGTGCAGGTTTCCCCCCCCGTGCCTCACCTATGGTGCAGGTCTCCCCACCCGCGCCTCACCTATGGTGCAGGTATCCCCACCTGCGCCTCACCTATGGTGCAGGTCTCCCCACCCGCGCCTCACCTATGGTGCAGGTATCCCCACCCGTGCCTCACCTATGGTGCAGGTGTCTCCACCCGTGCCTCACCTATGGTGCAGGTCTCCCCCCCCGTGCCTCACCTATGGTGCAGGTCTCCCCCCCCGTGCCTCACCTATGGTGCAGGTCTCCCCACCCGTGCCTCACCTATGGTGCAGGTCTCCCCACCCGTGCCTCACCTATGGTGCAGGTCTCCCCACCCGCGCCTCACCTATGGTGCAGGTGTCTCCGCTCCAGCCCTCGTCGCAGGTGCACGCCCCGTGCCGGCAGGTGCCGTGGACGCCGCACGCCGGGGGGCACCCCCCGTGGCGGCAGCCGGGCCCCCCCCAACCCTCCTCGCAGCGGCAGGCGCCGGCCACGCAGGCGCCGTGCTCGCCGCACTCCTCGGCACACTCCTCTGTGGCGCGAGCGCAGAGAGAGGGGGGGGGGGGGGGGTTAACGCCACGCACGGCCGCCTTTGTCTTCCCCGGCGGCGACGGTTAAGCCGCAACCACAAGTGGCTCCTCCTCCTCCTCCTCGTCGTCGTCGTCGTCGACATTTACAGCGGCAGCCAAATGTTGTAAATGCGTCGCGGCGATTCCAGAGGCGGAGGGGGATCCCGGAGGAGAAAAATCCACGCGAGCCCCCGTGACCCCCCCGTGACCCTCCCCGTGACCCCCCCTCCCGTGACCCCCCCTTGACCCCTGTGGCCCCCCCGCGACCTTCTCCATGACCTCCCCCGCCCTCTCGTGACCCCCCCCGTGACCCCCCGCCCCCTCGTGACCCCCGTGACCCCACCCGTGACCCCCCTTCGAGACTCCCACCGTGAACCCCCCCGTGACCGCCCCGATCCCCTCCCCCTGGTGTCCCTCCCGTGGTCCCCCGCCCCCACGTGACCACCCCGCCCCCCCGTGACCCCCCGTGACCCCCCCGTGACCTCCCGCGCGTTACCGATCTCGCACTGGGCCCCCGTCCAGCCGGGCTCGCACTCGCACGCGCCGCTCTCGGCCGCCTCGCTGGAGCCGTGTCCCGAGCAGAGGTGCGGGCAGGGGGGCCGCGGCAGCGAGCACGAGGGCCCCCCCCAGCCGGCGTTGCAGCGGCACTCGCCCCGCACGCACACCCCGCGGCCCCCGCACGCCGGCTCCAGGCAGTCCACTGCGCACACGCGCACGGGGGGCAGAGGCAGAGGCACAGGGGGCACGGGCGGCGCACGCCATGTCACCAAACTGTCTCCCAGAGTCTCCCCACGTCTCCCCCAATCTCCCCGTGTCTCTTCCACATCTCTCCCACGTCTCCCCGTGTCTCTCCCACCTCTTCCCACCTCTCCCCGCGTCTCCCCGTGTCTCTCCACGCGTCTCGCAGAGTCTCACCGAATCTCCCCATGCCTCCTGCGTCTCCCCATGTCACCCCGCGCGTCTCCCTGAGTCTCCCCAATTCTCTCCATGTCTCCCCGAGCCTCTTCGCGTCTCCCCGTGTCAGTACCCACGTCTCCCCACGTCTCCCCCAATCTCCCCGTGTCTCTCCCCACGTCTCTCCCACGTGTCCCCACGTCTCCCCCAATCTCCCCGTGTCTCTCCCCACGTCTCTCCACGTTTTCCCACGTCTCCCCGTGTCTCTCGTCAGTCTCCGCGTCTGCCCCCTTCCCACCCCCACCCACCCCCCCAACCCCCCCACCCCCTCCCCCCCACCCCCTCCCCCCCACCCCGGCACTACCCTCGGTGCAGCCGGGCCCCTTGTAGCCCCCGTGGCAGACGCACTCCCCCATGACGCAGGCGCCGTGGCCCCCGCAGGACGGCTCCAGGCAGTGGGACGCGGGGACGTCGCACTCGGGGCCCTTCCAGCCCGTGTGGCAGCGGCACTCCCCCAGCGCGTACTCCCCGTTGTTGCTGCACAGCTCGGGGCACGACACTGGGGGGGGGGGGCAGGGAGAGGGGGGGGGGCAGGGAGAGGGGGGGGGGCAGGGAGAGGGGGGGGCAAGGGAGAGTGGGGGGGGGGGCACGGAGAGTGGGGGGGGGGCACGGGAGAGTAGGGAGCCAGAGAAACCACACTCGTGAGAGAGGGTGAAACACTCGATCCCGTGCAGACAAAACCAGAGAAAACTAACGCGTGCGTGGGAGGGTGAAACACTCTATCCCGTACAGAAAAACCCAGAGACACCACACTCATGAGAGAGGAGGAAACACTCTATCCCGTACAGACAGAACCAGAGAAAACACACTCGTGAGAGAGGGTGAAACACTCGATCCCGTACAGACAGATCCAGAGAAACCACACTCGTGCGTGCGAGGGTGAAACACTCGATCCCCCCCGAGAGGGAACAGGTTGTGCGTCGCCGTCACCTCTTGCGCAGTCGATGCCAACGAAGCCGGGGAAGCAGTGGCAGGATCCCAAGAGGCACTCCCCGTTACCATGACAGTTGTTGGGACAGGCCTCCAGAGACTCTGCAAGCGGAGAGACCAACACCGCACACTCTCCCTCTGTGTCTCCCAGTTCCTCTGTGCCGTGGCTCTCTGTCCCGTGTCCATGTGTCCCATGTCCCCGTGTCCTTCTGTCCTGCGTCCCCGTGACCCCATAACCCGAATTTTAAAGTGGAGCAGTGCGAGTAAAGAAGCATAAAGTGAAGTGTCGTGAGTGGGTGAGTGAGTGGGTGAGTGAGTGAGTGAGTGGGTGAGTGAGTGGGTGGGTAGGTGAGTGGGTGAGTGAGTGAGTGGGTAGGTGAGTGAGTGAGTGGGTGAGTAGGTGAGTGAGCGGGTGAATGGGTGAGTGAGTGAGTGGGTGAGTGGGTGCGTGGGTGAGTGGGTGAGTGAGTAGGTGAGTGGGTGAGTGAGTGGGTGAGTGGGTAGATGAGTGGGTGGGTGAGTGGGTGGGTGAGTGGGTGGGTGAATGGGTGGGCGAGTGAATGAAAGAACGGCTAAGTTAGGGGTGAGTGGGTGGGTTGAGTGAATTGGTAATTGGGCGAGTGAGTGAGGGGATGAATGCGTGGTTGAGTGAGTGGATGGGTGACGGTAGTGGGTGGGTAATTGGGTTAGTGAGTGGCTAAGTGAATGAGTGAGTGAGCGAGTGACTGGCTAAGTGAACGAGTGAGTGAGCGAGTGAGTGACTAAGTGAACGAGTGAATTCGCGAGTGTGGGGGGTAGGGGTTGGGGGACGGGGGGCGTGGGAGGGGGTTTGAGGTTTGGGGGGTGGGTGGGGGGTTGGGGGGGTGTTTGCCAAGGCGCCCGCCACTCACCCACGGCGCTGGTGCTGAACGACAGCAGCTGGGTGCTGTGGGCGTCATTGTACAGCGCCAGGTGCCACGTGCCCCCCTCCAGGTACTCGATGAAGCCCGCGTGCCTCCGCGGGGGGCCCCGACCCCCCGCTCCTCCCGCCGCCCCCCGGGCCGCCCTCGCCGCCCCCTGAGGCCCGGGGCTGCGTCTCGCTCTCTCGCCCCCCGCGACGTCTCCCGGGAATGCCGAGGGCTCCATCTCCTCGCGGGTGGTCCCCGCCGCGCCAACGCCGCCGCCACCGCCACCCCCCAGACGACTGCCGTCCAGAAGCTTCACGAAGTCGTACTGGGGGGCGGGGTGGGGGGGGGGGGGGCACGTGGTTACGTACGGGACGCGTGGCGTTTGAACGATCGCCGTGGATCAAAGTTACAGCGAACTTTTTGAGTCGGTGCACTGCTGGATGAAGTCCTCCAACCCGCGCTGATGGGGTCACGGCGGGGTCACGGCGGGGTCACGGCGGGGGTGGGGGGGAAAGTGTGGGCGCCACGGGTGGCTAGGAGATGTTAACTACCTCGCCTGGTCTACAGGAGGCCGTGGGTTCGATCCCGACCCTGACGCCTGCTGCTGTATATTTGGAGTTTGTGTGTCTCTCTCTCCCCGTAGTGAGATGTTGACTACCTCGCCTGGTCTACAGGAGGTCGTGGGTTCGATCCCCACCCTGACGCCTGCTGTATATGTGGAGTTTGCGTGTCTCTCTCTCTCTCCGTGGTGAGATGTTAACTACCTCGCCTGGTCTACAGGAGGGCGTGGGTTCGATCCCGACCCTGACGCCTGCTGCTGTATATTTGGAGTGTCCATGTCTCTCTCTGTCTCTCTCCATGGTCGCGTGCATTTTTCTCCTGGTCCTCCGTTTTTTCCCCTCTCCACATTTTAAATCGACTATCACGCGTTTAGAGAATTCAGTATTTGGCTACTGATATACATTTCCACACTTCGATGATGAGCTCATTGGGGGCCTTACCTGTTATTATATCAAAACAAAATAGTATCCATAATAGAGGGGTTTTTTGGGTTAGATCGCGTAAATACAAATGTGTCGTTAAACCCGCCACCACCCGACACAGCCAACTAGTAAGAGTTGGTCACGTCAACAAAACGGGGACAATTCGCTACTGGTTCAGCAAACGCACCGGTGAGTTGGAGAGCAAACCCACTACAACGTTTTACAATTCGAGTACGACGTTTCGCGATCTACCCCCCCTCCCCGCCACAACCCCCACTACCACCACCACCCCCCGCCTCTTCTATCACGAACAACATTGGTCGTGAAAGCCCCTGCCACCACGTGTTCAACAAACATTGCGCGTCGTTTTATTCCCGTGCACCACGTAAGCCCGGCACGTGGTGCACCACGTGGTGTGTCACGTGGTTGAGCACGTGGTGCGGCACGTGGTGCATCACACGTGGGACGGCACGTGGCGCGGCACGTGGTGCACCACGTGGTTGAGCACGTGGTGCGGCACGTGGTGCGGCACGTGGTGCGGCACGTGGTGCGGCACGTGGTCCAGCACGTGGTGCACCACGTGGTGTGTCACGTGGCGCGGCACGCAGTTCGACGCGACGCGGTGCTGCGCGCGTTGCGTTGCGCGCTCGCAAGCGGCGGCGCTCACCTCCGTGTGAGTGGGGGGCAGCCCCCTTACCTGCGTGTGAGTGGGGGGCAGCCCCCTTACCTGCGTGTGAGTGGGGGGCAGCCCCCTACGGCCGTAGGCGGCGAGCAGCGCGTCGCGGGGCAGGCTGACGTTGAACTTGAGGAGCCGCGCGCCGCCGTCGAGCGAGACGCGGGTCCGCCAGTAGACGCCCGGCGGCACGTCCTGCAGGTACTCGCGACCCACCCACACCTCGCCCGCATCCAACGACTGGGGACCCACGCCCACGGGAGGGCTCTTGGCTGTGGAGGGCCGGGGGGTACCAGCATCACGATCAATAAAGTAGCCGGGGGGGTGGTTAGCGCTTGCTGTGTCAAGCTGTGGTCTGTCCATTGCTGGATGAGGATCGGTGTGATGATGATGATGATGAGGATGTCTGCTCTACCCTGCGTGTGTTCGCTACTCTACGTGATCTTCTCTCTCTCTGTCTCTCGGTGTAATTGACATAATCACCATGGTCTGTCTACTGCTGGATGGAGAGTGGTGTGATGCAGAGGTCGCAAATGGGTTTTGATTCCTTACCCGTACCCGTACCCAGCCGCACCAGGGTTGCAATCGGGTACCCGTACCCGTACCCTACCCAAAACCCGGCTACCCGTACCCGGCCGGGTATCGGGTAGGTGATCGGGTACCCGATTGCGACCTCTGGGATGAAGCCATGTTGCAGGCGCGGGTGGGTTGATTCTAGGAACTTGAATTGTGAGAAGAGACAAGACGTTGGGAAATGAGTGACAAACGGTGACTCACCAGTGACTCACGGCCTACCCGTACCCGGCCGCACCAGGGCTGCAAACGGGTACCCGTACCCGGCCGGGTATCGGGTAGGGTACGGGTATCGGGTAGGGTACGGGTATCGGGTACCCGGTTGCGACCTCTGGTGTGATGATGAGGATGTCTCCTCTACCCTGCGTGTGTTCTCTACTCCACGTGATCTTCTCTCTCTCTCTGTGTCTCTCAGTCTAAATTCCCAGCATGCATCTCTCCATGCTGCTTGGCGCAGGTGAGACCGTCTTTTTTTTTTTGGAAAAGAGTGGTGGAAATTCCACATTCCCATGACAGGGTTGTACCTCTGCTGTCCCCGTTCTCATAGGTGTGCACGTCTGTGGGCTGCAGCTGCCAATTCAATCCGAACAAATGCATAGCTGGGGGATCCACAAGAGGAGAGGGAGGGAGGAGGAAACAGCGTGATCAGTGTACACAAACACACAGACAAAGATCCCCCGTGTAGCCTTAACAGAGTGTTGGGGCAAGTGCTGTTAGCGAGCAGCTATGAAGGCCAGAACGGCACATGAGGAGGTGGGTGGCCAGCACCACGCCCGACCGCCTTTGTCTCCACCAGCATCGGGTACTCATTGGAGGCTGAGTCGACCTAGGGGAGGTCCGTGACCGGTTCAGATGATCGTCACCGGTGTTGGCCGTGAGCGGGAATCGAACTCGGATCGCTGGGTTCGTGGTGCAGCGCGTTCACCGCTACACACACAGACAAAGGTCCCCCGTATAGCTGAACAGACTGTTGGGGCAAGTGCTGTTGGCGAGTAGCAGCACCTGTGAAGGCCGGCACGGTCACACCTATCGTGGGGTGGTGTTGCCAGCACCACGCCAGACCGTCTTTGTCTCTCCCCGCGCTGGGATTTCGTACGCACCGCACCAGGTACCCGGTTTAGTCTTCTTGGTTCTTTCGGTAAAGTCACGTAGAATGGAAATAATAAAGTAATAAAAATAAAACATAATAAAATTATTCTCACGACGCTTCGGCCACAACGCAAGCAGCCGTCCTCAGGTGAAGAACAGGTCTGTCGATAAGACAGAGTCTGAATGACACGTCCTGGGCTTGGAGCGTCTATTTAAGCTGGGAGGGAGGAGGAAGAGCGCCTTGACAAAATAATTTGCATATCCAGAGGAATTTTAGCATATTTATGGGAAATTAAGAAATGCGACTAGTACTACTTGTGAAATGCGTAGGAGGTTTGGCGGGGGGTTTAAAGTCATGTTTTGCCCGTGCATTATGCAGGACCAGCAGCTTCCATTCTACGTGACTTTACCGAAAGAACCAAGAAGATGAATCCCTGCAGTCACGAAAGCTTTAAATCGAAATTTACCCGGTTTAGTTTGAGTCGACGTAACGGAGGCTAAGGAAATGCGCAGATAATTTTGCCACCGATGTTGAGCCGTGAGCGGGTAAAAGCCAAACCTCATTGCTCCACGCAATCTGGCAATGGCGCGAGCCGTACGCCCGATTCGCCAACGCCACACGTGGTGTGTGTGTGTGACACGTGGTGTGTGTGTGTGTGTCACACGTGGTGTGTGTGTGTGTGTCACACGTGGTGTGTGTGTGTGTCACACGTGGTGTGTGTGTGTGACACGTGGTGTGTGTGTGTGACACGTGGTGTGTGTGTGTGTCACACGTGGTGTGTGTGTGTGTCACACGTGTGTGTGTGACACGTGGTGTGTGTGTGTGACACGTGGTGTGTGTGTGTGTGTCACACGTGTGTGTGTGTGACACGTGGTGTGTGTGTGTGACACGTGGTGTGTGTGTGTGTATAACACGTGGTGTGTGTGTGTGTGTCACACGTGGTGTGTGTGTGTGTGTGTCACACGTGGTGTGTGTGTGTGCTCCCATGCCTATGTGACTTTGACCCTCCCGCAGAGCCCACACTCCTTCTGTGCCATTCCTCAAGCCCCACGCCACTCACCCACTCTCCACTACCACTCATCCACTCACCACTCACCCCTCACCACTCACCAGAACCACTCACCCACTCACCAGCACCACTCTCCCACTCTCCACTACCACTCACCCACTCACCAGCACCACTCACCCACTCACCAGCACCACTCACCCCTCACCACTCACCCCTCACCACCACCACTCACCCACTCACCAGCACAACTCACCACTCACCCCTCACCACTCACCCCTCACCACTCACCACTCACCCACTCACCAGCACCACTCACCCACTGCCCTTTCCACTCATCCACGCACCAGCTCCACTCACTCACTGCCTCTACCCACTCACCCACTGCCCCATCCACTCACCCACTGCTCCATCCATTCACCAACTGCCCTACCCACTCACCCACTCACCAGCACCACTCACTCACAGCCCTACCCACTCACCCACTGCCCTATCCACTCACCCACTGCTCCATCCATTCACCAACTGCCCTATCCACTCACCAACTGCCCCAACCACTCACCCACTGCCCTATCCACTCACCCACTGCCGCCTCCCCCCACTCCCCCCCAGCCCCCCCATGCCCCCCCAGCCCCCCCCAGCCCCCCCCCCTACCGACGAAGTATGCGAGCAGCACTGCGAGGGTGGCCGCGAGCCCCGTGGCGCTGAGCGCCGCGCAGCGCCACGAGCAGCGGCGCCGCTCGGGCTTGTGGAACGAGAACGCCGCCCGCGGGGCCAGCGCTGCCCTGGGCAGCGGGCGGGGCAGCCCTGCCCCCGGGGCGTAGACGCCGCCGCCACCGCCGCCGCCGCTGCTGCCGCTGCCCGCGCCGCCGCCACCGCCGCCGCTGCTGCCGCCGCCACCGCCGCCGCTGCTGCTGCTGCCCGCGGTGGGGCAGGAGGATGAGGCCACCACCAGCCCGCTCCCCGCGGCGACGCTGAGGCCCCCCGCCAGTAGAGGGGAAGAACCGGGCTTGAAGAGGAAGTGTCTGTGGGGGGCAGGGGGGGCAGGGGGGCAGGGGGTAAGTGAGGGGGGGGGCAGGGGGGTTAGTGAGGGGGGGGTGCGTTTAGATCAGAAGTTGGGTTGGTAATCTCCTCCTCCTCAATTTAACACGTGTAGGCTTTCGCGATCAATATTATTCATAATCAAGGTTTTTGGGTGAGATCGCGTTATTTATAAATGTGTCGTAACCCTCCACCACCCGACACGGCCAAACAGGAGGAGGAGGAGATTTTTATTTTCTCATTACGAAGAAACTACTTTGGTTCTTTCGGTAAAGTCACGTGGGGTAGAAAAATAATCGATTGCGACCTTTCGATCGCAACACAGGCGATCGTCATCAGCTGGGACAGCCGCAGCAAGAAAAAAAACTGCTGAAGTCGTTGCTGTGGTTGTTCCACCTGATGCCGATCGATTGTGTTGCGATCGAAACGTCGTGATCGATTACACTGGTCAACACACTTTTTCTGGCATAAGGTATTCCAACGGTTTTAACGTAATTTTGTGGTGCTGATTCCAAATCTGGCATCAGTTTTAGTCTATCACATCAGGTTTTTGAGATATCAAATATTGCATTTTCAATAAAAACTGCAGAAGAAAAATATTAAATAAATGTGGATATCTACATAAAATGATATTATAAACACACTATCCTAAAAATACAGCACCATATTTTAACACTAAAGCAGTCACTGACTCGCAACAACTTGCAATCATAAGTGACAGAGTTAATTTCGGGTAAAATCAATGAAAATGGGGTATGCCGATAGCATAAAAATGATGTGACAGAGCAAATCTGAGATCAGATTTGGAATCAGCACCCTGAAATTAGTCTAGAACAGCTGCAAAAGTCCAGACCAGTGTTATTTTTACACCCCACGTGACTTTACCGAAAGAACCAAAGAGTATGGATGGATTCCTGCAGTCACGAAAGCTTCCAAATCAAGATTACGAACACACTTTCATTTTCGTCCCACGTGTTTTTTTTTTTAAATCTTAAATTGTTTTTGTATCCGAGCAGTAGCGACGTGACACTGCAAAGAGACGCTCGCTGCTACGGCCCTTGCAAGTGGGCTGCGTTTTACGAATCAATTATTGGGGGGGGGAGCCCCCAACCCAACCGATTGCAGCACCCGCTGAGCCACCGCTAGATCCACTAGGCCATAAACAACAAAAAACAACGAAAAAACAACAACAAAAAAACAACAACAAAAACTACAAAAAACAACAACAAAATAACAAAAAAACTACAAAAAACAACAACAAAAAAACAACAACAAAAAAACAACAACAAAAAAACAACAACGAAATAACAAAAAAAAACAACAACAAAACTACAAAAAACAACAACAAACTACAAAAAACTACAACATAACTACAGCAAAACTACAACAAAACAACAACAAAACTACAACAGTACAACAACAAAATAACAAAAAAACAACAACAACAAAAACTACAAAAAAGCAACAAAAACACAACAGCGTGTAGCGAGCTCGCCTGGTCTCCAGGGGGACATTGCTGTTCATCCCCCACGCGTCCCCAAGTCCACCTCGGCCCGACTCGATCCTTGCCGGCGGCGCGGGGGGCTGCGTGGGGCTGAGCCCGCGCCGAGGGTCAACACCGGGGACGACTCCCCCGGAGCCAGGAGCCAGGGCCGAGAGAGACGCGTGGGCATGGTGGTGGTGGTGGTGGTGAGGCTGGTGGTGAGCGTGGTGGTGAGTCAGCCCGTGGCTCAGAGGGTGAGGAGTGGTGCCGTAGTTGCCGTGGTGAGGGTGTTGTTGTTGTTGTTGGTGCTGATGTTGTTGTTGTTGGTGGTGATGTTGTTGATGGTGGTGGTGGTGGTGGCTCCCTCGCAGCACTGAGTGGGTCTGGTGGCCCAGGCCGGTGTCTGTGAATGGGGAGGGAGAATCAATTAATCGCAATACATTTTTTTAAAATTAGCAACCAATTAACCAATCTAAGCAGTCGTGGCTCCAGCTTAATGGGCGCCACGGTGGTGAGATGTTAACTACCTCGCCTGATCTACAGGAGGCCGTGGGTTCAATCCCCACCCTGACGCCTGCTGCTGTATATTTGGAGTTTGCGTGTCTCTCTCTCTCCGTGGTGAGATGTTAACTACCTCGCCTGGTCTACAGGAGGTCGTGGGTTCGATCCCGACCCTGATGCCTGCTGTATATTTGGAGTTTGCGTGTCTCTCTCTCTCCGTGGTGAGATGTTAACTACCTCGCCTGGTCTACAGGAGATCGTGAGTTCGATCCTGACCCAGACGCCTGCTGTATATTTGGAGTTCGCGTGCCTCTCTCTCTCCGTGGTGAGATGTTAACTACCTCGCCAGGTATACATGAGGTCGTGGGCTCAATCCCGACCCTGACACCTGCTGCTGTATATTTGGAGTTTGCGTGTCTCTCTCTCTCCCCGTGGTCGCGTGGATTCGTCTCCGGGTCCTCGGGGTTTTCCCCTCCACATTTAGAACCGACATCACCACGCGTTCTGAGTATTTGACTGCTGCTATAAATCTGCACGTGATGATGATGATGATAAACCACTTTGCTGAGCTATCATTTCAGATGGCCAGGTCTATTCTGAAAAAAATGCTACAGAGTTCAGTGGGGGCCTTACCTGGTTAATTAAGAATATAAATACATGGGGAATATTATTCACGCACTCGCAAATTAACACTTTGAAGGCTAACGTGATTAATTGGGAAGATATAAACAGCAACATCGCCCCCCAACTGTGAAAGTAAATATGAATGGGATTACTAGAGACTCACAGACTCATACAGAGACTCACAGACTCATACAGAGACTCACAGACTCATACAGAGACTCACAGACTCATACAGAGACTCACAGACTCATACAGAGACTCACAGACTCAAATACTCACACAGAGACTCACAGACTCAAACAGAGATTCAGACATATACTGAGACTCAAATACTCACACAGACACTCACAGACTCAGACTCAAATACTCACACAGAGACTCGCGGACTCATACAGAGAGACTCACAGACTCATAGAGAGACTCAGGAACTCATACAGAGACTCACAGACTCAGACTTAAATACTAACACAGAGAGACTCACAGACTCATACAGAGACTCAAATACTCACACAGAGACGCGCAGACTCATACAGCCCCAAATAAGTACCTGGTGCGGTGTGTTGTAAACATCGCTAGCACTGGGGAGACAAAGGCGGTCGGGCGTGGTGCTGGACACCTACCCCCTCGTGTGCCGTGCCGGCCTTCGTAGGGTGCTCGCTAACAGCACTTGCCCCTACAGTCTGTTGAAGGCTATACGGGTGATCTTTGTCTTTGGGCCTGAGACACACACTACGACACCCTACCTCGACAAAGCGACTCACTCTCTGCCCTCAACCCCCGACTCCCCGACTCACCCAAGCACCCACTGGCCCGCTCACTTTCTCACTCGCCCAATTCACACGATGAACTCTTAAATGTTTTTTTTTATTCTACCAGGGTAAGGCCCGCTGAGCTGAGTAGATATTCTATTTTAGTTTTTTTCAGAAGCGACTCGGGCCATCGCGAATGGCGGCTCAACAAAGTAGTCTCATCGTGTGGAAATTGATAGCAGCCAAATACTCGAAACGCGTTCCGTTGATGAATTATCAGTGTGGAACGAAGAAACGAGGAGGAGACAGAGAAAAAATATCCACGCGACCACGGGGAGAGAGAGACAGACACGTAACCTCGTAAATATACAGCACGCTTCAGTGTCAGGATTGAACCCACGACCTCCTGTAGACCAGGCGAGGTAGTTAACATCTAAACACGGAGAGAGACACACACACACAAACTCCAAATACACAGCAGCAGGCGTCAGGGTCGGGATTGAACCCACGATCTCCTGTATACCAGGCGAGGTAGTTAACATCTAAACACGGAGAGAGAGAGACACACACAAACTCCAAATACACAGCAGCAGGCGTCAGGGTCGGGATTGAACCCACGATCTCCTGTATACCAGGCGAG